AAGAAGTCAGTGTTGTTGACTGAGAAGCAGACAGTTGGAATAATTATGTCAATTTATACTGAAACTGCTTTTCTTTCAGGTTTCCTTAAAAACCTTTCATAGTAGAAAGCTCTTCATGAGAAAACTGAATATTTGTGAAATCTTACATAAAATATGTATTATAATAAAGGAGAATGAAAAAATTTACTACTTACATCTTGAACATTTCCATCCTTATCCATCAATTTTATTATTGGGTCAAGGCCCCTAACATATTTAATTTGGAGATTGGGGAATTTTGCTGGTCGATCACTTTTAACAAATGCTGAAAAGAAAATCTTAAGACATAGCATTAAAAACCCTCAAGAATCTGAATATAATGCACTCCCAAACAAATATATCTTTTATCAGAAACTGAAATCATAACATGCTAATAGAAGATCTATTACTATCTACAACAATTTTCAAAAGCACTTCAAATAAACAGAAAGAAAGTTTGTCCTGGCCCTGTGCAAGTAACGTGTTTTGGGGTTGTATGCTGTCCAGTTACCCTTATTCAAATTCTACAAGCTGGGGAAAGAAAGGATAGCCAAGCTGAAGTTCTGTGACAAGGGATTCTGGCGAAGTCACAGGTCTATGGTGTTTACTGTAAGAACATTTTACTGCATGTCATATGGGATAATGATTTAATTAATATATTTATTCACGTCTCTACTTACAAGTTAATTTATGGAATGATGAAGCAGATTCACAACTAGTGCAGTGAAGTTACTTATTCACAATAATACTCTGAATGTGTTCCACAAAATTGTGTTACTTTCCATCACTACATAACTAGCATACCTTAAGGGCCACAGATATAACAAGCAGATGGCATGCAACCTTCAGATCTGATGAAACCATGCACACACCACGATGGGTGCTCATACAGACTGATCCACAAATGACACAATGTGATATTCTGATTACTAGGGACCGGATTTTAATGCAAATGCATATTTCTTTCTTGCTACCAGAAAGTATGCTTGTTTGGATATATGTATGAATTACTTCATTTCTTAAATTTTGGACATGGTTTGATGGTGCATATAAATGCATATTTTGCCTGATTTATGAATAAGCATCATATTTTCGAAGATCTCTATTTATACTGCATATTTCCTTTTTAAAATGTTTATCATATATATTTTTTAATTTTATGTTCAAATTTTCAATCATGGTTGTGTGTACACAATTTTTCTTTTCCGTGTTAGAATATGTTGCATATTTGACTCAACATTTCGTCATGATTCATGTTTCTGATGCAATACCCAGGACGGGACTCCCCCGATCCCTCTACTCGTAACTTGACTCATCCGCTTACCATCAAAGTGGCCGCGAAGAGATTAGTCGGAAGCGTTCACATGTAGCCGCTATCAACGTAATACTATTCAACAGATAAGGGACTTCACTTATTTATTTCCGAAGTCTCCATGAGGTTCGTTACGCTTCTTCATTTGGAGCTGGGGGCCATTCACATTAGTGGAGACGAGTCTGTAGTTGAGTTTGTTTAGCTTTCTGTAGTCATGCCGAAAGTGAAAGTAAGTCAGAAAACTAAATTACAGCTGTATCAGCTGGGGTTCAAAGGAGAGATGATAAGTACGGATAACAAAATTCTTTATTGCCGAGCATGTGAGAAGACAGTTGGTTGTGAAAAACGCTTTCAAGTGCTTCAGCATTTGAACACTAATATTCACAGAGAGAATATTAAAGTTAAATCCACGAAAAGTGCTCCTGTTCAAAAATTGCTTAGTGAATTTTCTAATAGTAGTCTTTCACAGTTTTCCTTTGATTTATGCGAAGCCTTTTTAGCGGCAGATATTCTGCTGTGGAAACTAACCAATCCTACTCTGAGAAACTGCATAGAGAAGTATACACAGTGCAAAGTGCCAGATGAATCTACCGTGTGCAAATATTACGTGAAGCAGTGTTACAATTTTACAGCTGAAAGCATTAGAGGTAAGATTCAAGATAATTTTGTGTGGGTACCAATCGACGAAACACAAGATTGTGAGGGACGGTTTATTGCAAATTGTATAGTTGGATCCCTTAATAAGAATGAACAATCTACCCCATATCTTCTTGCGGTAGAGCAATTTGAAACCACAAATGGCTCCACAGTTTCCGAATTTTTATCAATTCCATGAATTTACTATGGCCGAATGGCATTCAGTATGAGCGCGTATTGCTCTTTGTGACTGATGCTGCAACTTTTATGATGAAAGCCGGTACTGCTCTTAAAGTTATATTTCCAAATATGACACATTTAACTTGCCTTGCCCATGGGTTGCACCATGTTGCAGAAACAATTCGTGTAAATTTTCCGCTTGTTGACAAATTGGTGTCTTCTGTGAAGAAGGTATTTGTTAAAGTGCCATACAGAAAAGAAGCCTTTAAAGCAGTAGCACCGAGTGTTCTACTTCCGCCAGAACCAATTTTAACGTGCTGGGGCATGTGGCTGTGTGCAGCGAGTTATTATACCGAACATTTAGAAACTGGAATGCTGTGAATACATTTGATCCCTAAACTGCAACATCAATTCAAATTGCACAAGATATACTAAAAAACGCAGAAGTAGAAACTAATCTTTCCTATATATCTGCTCCCTTTTCTCATCTTCCATCCGCCATTTCCTCACTGGAGGCAAGCAATAGCAATACTACTTTGTATCAGTCATTAAGTGTGTTCAAAACCACTGTTTTCAAATTGAATTCAGTTCCTGGAGCATTTTGTGAAGTAGTAAAGGAAAAAGTACACAGCATTCTTTAAAAAAATCCAGGATATGAACAAATTTGTGAAACTGAAGAAATTTTAGCCGGTAAATGTACTGAACTGCCAAGTAAAAAATCACTAAGAGTGGAGCAAATACCGACTTTTGTACATGCGCCCCTAAGTTCCTGTGAGGTTCAAAGTTCTTCCCACTATAAGGACATCTTACGAGACAATAGCAGGTGATGAACTATGGAAAACCTAAAACATTTAGTAATTGTGAACTGCAACAGAAGAGAAGTTGAAAGTTCGGAGAGCTAAATGTGAGTACCACTGTCTTTTTTAATTTGTAATGAAATATGTTGGATTTGATGAACGATTTGTATTTAAGTATAGCTTTTTATTGCAAGTGAATCATTCAGTGATTACATAAAATGAACTTAAATATTGATTTGTTGGTCTTAAAATAATGCAAATCAATTTTAACATTTGGTATAAATTTTTATGTGCATATTTTAGTGCATATTTAAGAAGTTTTTCATGCATAAACGCATACATATTTAAGGGATTATTAGGTAATATAAAAATCCAGTTCCTACTGATTACAAATTGCCTGTCTCATTTAGCCTGATTACCAAACTGTAAGAAATTTGTTATTAGAACTACAGCATGTAATCTGGCTGCTTTGTTGGTTAATTCAGTCTAAATTATGACTTCAGGTTATATATCAGCATTGTTTTGCGGTACTAAAGGGGGGGACTTTCCTAGGAAAAGATCACACCTGGAGATGTGGTAAACCTTTAAGTTTGCATGTAAGAGGTAGAAGAAGAAATATATACACCTGTCTTTGTTCACAGTATATGAATTGAATGATTAAGGATACCAATACGTGCCTTGAATCTGTGGGTAAGCACCAAATTTACAGGTACAGACCTCAAGTCGAGCCTGGGCATATCGTTTTACTGCATGGCCACTTTCATCCCTGTGACAACACTGGTTGCAGTGGTCCCTGCAAGTAAACAGGCAGAAATGAATGAAATAAACCAAAACTGGGTAATACGATACACCTTCGTATATTTAATACTTGCCATTTCTGATATTTATAAGAATAAAAAATACAGAATAGTACAGACAAGCAGAAAATCCTTTACATATTGTGTGAGATCTGAGCTTGTCATGGAAGTGAATGTGCAGATTATTGTCTTCTGGAATGTGACCCTATGTTGTCTAATAGATATTACCAATGTTTTAAAGGAACCTTCTGCTTCCACCATGATGGTACACTCTAACTGTATTAATTATTCTACCTTAAGATGGAGCCAGCTGGTTCCTCCAAAACACTGGGCACTCTCTGCCAGACTATATAACATTATATCTCAGAAACAGCAATCTTCCTTCATATTTCCTAAAATAAGCCACTGCATGCATGTAGTGTTGCATCTACCAATCATCTGGGTTCAGTACATTTTGTGGTCATAGTAAGGGTTTTATTTGTGCAGTGCTCTTTTTTATTGTGGTTGTAAAGAGAAATGAAGCTAAAGGAAATTTCCCCAGCCCTTTCAATAAGACTGGTGAAATGCCATGTATCTGAAAAAAGAGAAATTTGTGTGATTTGGGTCTTTGAGTGTGACTCAGAAACAAAACTCTATTCTGAATAAAAAAAAAATCAAAGAGTCTCTGAGACCAAAAGACACTTACGTCAACATCAAAAGTTGACCAGATTCATAAACTGGTGTCTCCAAAACAGACAACCAAGAATTGTACCTTCAAATTTTGGAATGTTCACAGTAATACATTTATGAAATGCAGGGATTTCTTGACCAGCTGAGCTACTATTACTTTCTCAACAAGGACTCTGTGCCATGGAGTTAGTTATCCTTCTCTAACAAGCATAAATATTATTGCAGATTTGGTTTCCCTTATATATATATATATATATATATATTACTTTGTATACACAAACATATATATATTAGAAGCTTACTTTAAAATATCAAGTTCAAAGGTTGGCAAGTTGTCACATGATGAACACAGTAGATTTGCCTTATTCAGTCCCAGTGACCAGCAATCTTCTGCAGAAAATTCAGTCAGTACACTGGCAACCTGGGAAATGACACAATATTTCATACACATCATTGAGGTGAAAAAATAACATACACAGAAAAAGGTGTACATTACAAATACTAGAGCCTTATCAGCACTGCGGCTCTGGATACACTGACAACCACATACATAGCTCTGGGGGTTCAAACAAGTGGCATGAATCTTGATTTGTTGCATTATCCAGGACAAAAGAAAGTCTTGTAATGTTACAAGTAATAATTCTGGAGGTATCAAAAAAGAAAAGAACTGTGCATATTCCAGCACCATAATGTAACAGTACACATCTTAAAAAAGTCAATGAATGTACTATATGGTATTTGGTGAATTAATAATCAGTACAGATGAATGGCTTTCACATTCCCCATTCATGATGGTGTATGTTTTGATCTCTTAAAAAAGTGAAACAGCCGTTCGTAGATATAAACTAAACTTTGTGTAGGCCTCAGAAATGTAAATGTGAAACATTATTCTGGAAAAAGGGGGAAACTTTAGCTACTGTTGCTTAATACCTTACGAAGGGGGACCCAAAAATAACCGGAAACGACCTGTTGCGCGCGCATGCTTTGTAGTTACGAGTTGTGCTGCTAGGTGGTGTTAGCTGGGGGTCTCCCGCGACTGTTAGTGAGCTGGCGTCAGTCTGAGTTAAGTGGTTTGTCTGTGGTGCTCTGTTGTGTGCGTTCCTGTTTCAACCCTTTGGCGATTAGTGAGATGGCCGACCAGAAGGAACAAAGAGTGTGCGTGAAATTTTGCTTTCTGTTAGGGAAAACTGCACTTCACTCTTCAAGTCGCGGCAAACATTCACGCGGTTTTCTCTTTGGTCATCTCCGAGCAAGCGAGGAACAAATTTTGCAGACACCCGTCTCATGTGCAAACCTTCGGTTAAAATTCGCTGGACCATGCTCCATGAGATGTTCATTTCCTCAGAAAGTTGGTCAATGGTCTTTCGACGATCTTCATCAATTTCACGCACACTCTTTGTTCCTTCTGGTCGGCCATCTCACTAATCGCCAAAGGGTTGAAACAGGAACGCACACAACAGAGAACCACAGACAAACCACTTAACTCAGACTGACGCCAGCTCACTAACAGTCGCGGGAGACCCCCAGCTAACACCACCTAGCAGCACAACTCATAACTACAAAGCATGCACGCGCAACAGGTCGTTTCCGGTTATTTTTGGGTCCCCCCTCGTATATCATTAAGGAATATATATGAATATTGCATGATATCCTTTCAGCAGCTGCTGTAAAATCAGAGTATACATAATGCTCCTACACACAGAAGTTTCAAAATACAGACATATCTCCATTCAACACTTGCACTGAAGTGTATTTCCTTTCTGCATAGCTACCCATGAGGTAACGGATATCTGCCAAGGAAGATATACCTATTTGTGTGTGTGTGTGTGTGTACTGAAAATATCACTTATTATACGTTCTGTGCATTGCTGGTTTACGCTCGGGATAATAATTTATTCAGCAACAGCATAAATACCAGAAAGAAGAGTAAAGATGATCTACTAAATGGGAGCCAGGAGGTTGATCTAGAAGCAAAGGCTTGTTCATGTCTCATGATCAGCATGTACAACAAAATAATAACATAGAGCAAACACAAATTATCTTTACAATTTGAATCTGAGATACAATATTTAAAAATGAGACACATGTACTGTTTTTGCATCTTCTGTCAGGGAAGATCATTAAGTTTCGTATAGTAGTTGGTAGATGCCACTGCTGTTTGGCGTGAAACATTACAGTACTGTTGACACTGCAATATCACAGTATACACGGAGAGAGACAAAACATCATTTGAACATTTTATGTATCAGAAATGGTGCTCATGTTGAACATGTTTAAAACTCTCTGAAACCTTGTGTCTTTCCCTCACACATGACACAAAAATATTTCTAAAAATTTTTTAGATTCAAATTGTAAAGATAATATGTTTTCACCCCATATGAAGACAGCTAATAAATTGCAGCACTGCTAACAGATGTTCATTTCTTAATTATCTTATCCACGTATCATGCACATAAATAAATCTCAATACTGAAAGTGTAACAAAAAACAAGTTCAGAAAGTGCATTTCATAATTAAAATTACCATTTACTTACTTTTAAATTTACTTCCAATACATGATTCTTTTCATGAAACAATAAATTCTGAATTGTACTTGGGAGTGATTCTGTCACCCTTCTTCAATCAAGTGAATGATGAAGGAAATCATAAGACTTTTATGCAAGATAATGCAGCAGCACACACTGCAAACAATTCTGTGGTGAAGGCTGGTGAATGAGTCATAAATTGAGGATTGTAGTTTCTGCAATCACCTAATTTATATTTTAGCAACTTGTGGAGCACACTGAGAGATAAAATGTGTGTGAAAAGTCCAAACTCTTTAGAACTTAAAGAAAATAAGAGGAATGAAATTTGCATTATCCCCATACAGCAAATTCAACATGTATCTAGAAACATATTCTCATGATGTAAGGTATGCTTAGAAGCAGAGAGTCATCACTTCATGACCATTCTGAAAAATATCTGAAGTTAAACTACAGCAGAAATGTGCCTAAGTTACTGGTTACTGCAGTGGGTCTGTGCAAGAAGGGTGCAATGTAACTGCAGAAATCTGCCTAACAATAAACTGCACACCTGCATCTACAATGACTCATGATCAAACAAAAGTTCTCAATACTGAGTCAGTGTCAGATACATGAATCAGAGTTACTTTACGACTGGAGGTTTACCGCCAATCAGTTCGTCTTGGCAACAAGCCCCTTGAGAGTCACGACCAGTAATTTTATTTTCCAACTGAACACTTTCAGTTATAGTCCGTATGTAACATCCTCTCCAACGAGAGGATGGGTCTGTCGTTTACAATTGCTGCTGGTCCTCGCCTGCACAGTCATTCTCAAGCCAGAGTACCACGGAACTCATGGCCACATTTTACTCTCTCAGATTTGAGACTCCACCAACCTGAAGTTGGTGCTGGAGTTGGTATAATTATTTAATTATAAAATCGAAAAAAAAGTGATGTTATACTCCGCTTGGTTGCATGGCTTACTCTCCGACCCTGCAAACGTAGTCAGTACGTTAATCCAAAACGTCGGTAACTTCTATCAGAATACACGGGGTTCACTTCCCAAAAATCATGCTCTCCATTGAGCCGAGTCCTTCGGACGTCAACAGCTACTTGGCCATTCAGAAAATTATTTTCGTACTCTTTTTTCAGTACACACTTTCATAATTTCTTAAAGTGACTTACTAATTTAACACCTACCAAAACACCAATAAATGCTAACACAATAAGCACATGAAATCCCATTGCTACAACATAACCACTGACAACATTTAATCTCTTACGGTCTGTATCGTATCACGGATAAGTATGTCTGCCTACTCAAATTTATGTGTATTACTATTTTTCATCCGTGGCACTTGTGGACATTTCCAGACAAGAGTATACGTTGTCCTACCGGATTGGGTTGGCCAGAGAATAGAGAACCAATCAGTCTGAAACTGATTCGATTGAAAATGATCGATTCCCATTCAAGACATGGTAATATCGATTATATTGTAACGTGTTTTGCCACTGAAGACACCGTTCCTGTTGTTAATCAGTTTATTTAACAACCTACAAATCGTAACTACAAATAATTATAACGCGGTTGCAGGTTTACACAATTTACAAACACCACACACTACTGTATTCACTCTGTCTTCAGTAGTCTTCACTTATTTATAACGCGGGAGCTATACAAGTCTCTGTGAATTACACACTTCCTATATAACTGTACTACAGCACACACAAATCTTGAAAGCTCAAACACACTGGCTGACTTCTCAGTTATCGCACACTATCACAAAAAATCTTCTAACCACGCGTTCGGGTCTTCTTTCCGCGACTGGTGCTATATTTCAACCAACTCCTTAGTCAAAATCAAAGTCAAGTCACATTGCGACTGACGGTCAGTCAGTCAGAAAGTCTTGGTTTCGAGCCCCATCTGGGGCTCATGACCAGATATTTATTACTGCTTGACAGTTACGGTCTTGATTTTGTGTGGCGCCCTCTCTGACGAGAGGACGGGTCTGTCTTTTGTATATGCTGCTGGCCCTTGCCAGCGAAGTCTCTCTTGGGTCCGAGTCCCTTGGGACTCGTGACCATATTTTATTTATTGTCTCAGAAGTGAGACTTCCTCTTTCGTCGCCTCTTACGACTCGCAGGGTCACGGTGGAGGCATTCGACCCCGCCTCCACAAGGGGTAATCTAACTCCTTAGTCAAAGTCAAAGTCACATTGCGACTGACGGTCAGTCAGTCAGTAAGTCTTGGTGTCGAGCCCCATTTGGGGCTCATGACCAGATATTAATTATTATCGTTTGACAGTTACGGCCTTGTTTCTGTGGGGCGCCCTCTCTGACGAGAGGACGGATCTGTCTTCTGTATATGCTGCTGGCCCTTGCCAGCGCAGTCTTACTCGGGTCCGAGTCCCTTGGGACTCGCGACCATATTTTACTGTCTCAGAATTGAGACTTCCCTTTTCGTCGCCTCCTACGACTCGCAGGGTCACGGTGGAGGTATTAGACCCCGCCTCCACAGGGGGTTCTAACTCCTTAGGCAGTGCAGTTCTCTTATAAACCCTCAGCCAGACAACGGAAAGCGCCTGGCTTCCTTGTTGCCTAGTCGCCGTGTTACCAGCGTTGTCCCCTGTTACGTCACAGTGGGAAGTGTTGTTACGTCACCGCTGGCGGGGAAGGGGGTGTCCTGTATAGCGCAAATACGTCACAGTATCTTGAACACACTATGTAAATCGATTATTTAGTTTTCGATGCGTCAAACAGAAACACAACAACTCTTCCATACTGCGGTGTTCAAATGGTTGGGATGTTTCACAGAGTGGTGAACGTTGCAAAAAGAAAATGTACATCAATTGCTTATAGAACCAAACATCCACCAATTTTCTTGTACAGTATGTCTGTAAAAGAATTATGAGATTTTAAATTAAGATATTAATTGACTGTGATAAAAATTGGATGACAAATCAAACTGTGATTTACAAATAAGTGTGATTTTTTAAGTCCGACATGACCTCTGCTGCTCGTACACCCTACCTATAATGCAGCTCTTTGACATGTGGACCTCAATACGTCTTGCCTAAATGTAGCTATAGCTTCCGATTTTCTTCATTTGAATTCTAACAGAGACTGTTGTCTCGAGTAATACATTTAATCCTTTACACAACCCCGTCTTCTTGAAGGACCATTAAGGAATGGACTGAAATAACGGGAGGTTCAAGAAATCGGTCCCCTTTGTCCCTTTGTTCCGTGACAGATCCACAAAAAAATGTGGGGAGAGATAATATTAGTAGCCCAAATCCCTTTAGTTGTGGAAAAAAACATAGTTTTCTTGCAAATCCACATTATTGTCTTTTCCTTCTGTGATTTTTGGAGTCAGAAACGTGGTAGGCCAGATTTAAGATTCCCCTCCCTGAGAACAATTTTGGTATCGCTACGTTGAAACGTTGAATGAGCAAACCGGCGGGACAAACGTGACACAGATGTAAAACGGGGATGTACCGCATAAAATAGGGCGTATGGTCTCCCTATTCGTCTGCGAAAAAAAAATACCCTGTTAGACTTTCTTCTGAGCTTGTGGTTGCTTACCACATATGCATATTGGGCGAATTTCTTGCATGCATGACCCTGAAGGTGTCGACTGCAATACACATTGAAACGCCTGAACAGCTTCAACAAATGGCGCGGCTAAACCCCGACAGCCGAAGGTACACAGTATTCCAGTATGAAAGCCACAAAACCCTAAGAAAAATGTAATCTGTTTCACATTCCAGGCATTTGTTGTACTGGAACTAGAGTGACCGTACATCCAATTTTGAATGATATAGCCTCATTTAACAACTAATATAGCTTTTACCCCATCGGTTACCCCTGGAATACTAGTTTGGCCCGTTTTCATTCAAGAAATGATTACGTTTATCGTTGTAAATACCTGTATTTACGTCCTTTAAGAACCTGGCTATTTTTCTTTTGCTCTCGACTGAGTTCCTTGGTATTCATCTTAATTAATACAAGAATAATTCGTTTAATTAGCTTCACATCTTAGGAACCTACTGTAGGCATACCTACTCCTTGCTTTTTTTTTTGCTTCTTGGAATGGCAGAATTCGTAGCTATAAAGAACTTGCTGTAAAAAAAACAATAATGACATTTTTATTTAGGAAGGAGTGGGGTGCGAATCTCGCCAGCCCCATTTCAGACTCTAAAGATTAGAGTTACCTCAATTAGGGTCCCAAATTCAACAGTTATACACATTTAAAATCCATGATATGCGAATTTTGCTTCATTCGTAACAACCGAGTTTTGCCTGACAATCATCTCCTCTTATCTTCATGCATATCAAAGCAGCAAACTGAAGCGAGTTTGTCTGTCCGATTCGATAACGTGCAAAAGAGGCGGTTCTGTTTAAAGTAGCTATGTTAGAGAAAATCTGTCCCTATGCTTAATTAATTAAACACCACGCCACTAAGCCATGGGAGATGGAGGTATAGTTCCAACATTCTTGACCTTGGCACTAGATGGAAGTGAGTGGTCAGATTTATGCCCCGGCTGCCTTGCCCCCGGGGGAAAGAGCCCCCAGCACCCATTGGATAGAAGATTGGGCGGGCCCCAGTACAGGTTTGGACGCTGTGGAGTAGAAAAAATATCTTACCTCTGCCGGGAAACCAACCACGTTTTCCCGGTCGTTCAGCCTGTATCCTAGTCGCTATGCCGACTGATTTATTATACAGACTCTACATAAATAAAAAACGGCGGCCGGTGCATAAGGCTGACAACCTCAACGCCATATGTGAGCCGATTGTCTAAAGAAAATGTGGGAGTCTCGGCGTCTCACCATCCTATGGACCTTTACGGCCCCTTACAGGGATAGGTTTACCTTGGGTAGTTGATATTCAATAAAAACTTACAGGCACTGCATCACTAGTTATAGAAATATCATCAAAAATCATTGTTCATATAAAGTTGTGAAAAGGGTTCTAATCTAAACATGTAGCACTGTTTAGCAGAGGAGACTGGAATTATGTCTTTTTTTTTTTTAGATTTTAATTATGACCTCAAAAAAAAATACTGAATCTATAGGCTTCGATGTTTTACTAGAGAATTCGGATAAGGAATCCACTGTGGAAGATGGACAGTGAGAGAACAAATAATTATGGAAACTGCAGACGACAAGTCATAAAAAGATAAAGCCGATTAATATAATAAAAAGCTAAGAATTTTGAGAAGAACTCATACGATCTCTTTCCAGTCATTTAAACCTTGTGTTCCTAATGTTATGTTTAGGTAATGTTAAGTTTATAATCTAGCACAATTTAACTGATAGTTTTTCGTGCTGAACTTGTAAGAAGAACATCAGATGATCGAATTATACTGGAATTATTATGTCTTATGGTTTGTAATTATGTCTTATATTACATGCAGAGTACAAGACCCATTATACTTTCTGGAAGAATATTTAACGTAAGTATAAATTCTATGTTAACTTTGCAAGATATATAATCTCAAAATGTCGCAAGCTTCTCATATTTGTAATTGTTCACGTCTTATGCCATACATAAATTATAGGCATGATTACAATTTATCTTCATACAAAAATGAATATTCCTAGCTCTAAAGACGTTCTAATTATCCCTCTCAAGCAGAAAGCCGAAAGAAAAATTTCGCTTGGCCGCCATGTTGTTATTCAAACAAAACAAATCCGTAGCTTTAGTCCGCAAGTTAACTATACCGACCGAGAGACCGCCGCTTGTCTGCGAAGTTAGTGCCAACTTTAACGGATAGAGGGTGTTGCATGATCAGAGTAACGTATCTCCACGGCCGTTAATTTCGGTTTTCTAGATCGGAGCCGCTATTTTTCCATTCAAGTAGCTCCTCAACTATTCTCACAAGGCTGGGTGGACCCCGTTCCGGACCCACTACTTCACAGCAAATCTGATAGCGCAGGGACTCGAACCCGAACCTCTGGATCTCTAGGCAGGAACTCTGACCACTAGATCGCAGGGACGATCTCATGTTGTTATTCTACATTTCTTTTAATAATGCCCAAAAAGAAGCAACTCATTATTTTTGAAGATCTATTATCATGCACAATTTTTTCCCCTTGGCACTACAGCCCCAGTGGGCCTAGGCCTACTTCCATGAACTTCTCCGTTCACTTCGGTTTTTCTAGATCTTAGACATACGGTAGGATTCCTTGGGCTGGTGATCAGCTCGTCGCAAGGCCTCTACCTGTATACAAACACAGAAAAACGCACACACACAAATTAACATCCATGCCCTGAGTGGGATTCGAAGCCACGATCCCGGTTTCCAAGCGAGCGAAGACAGTACATGCCTTAGACTGATCGGCTACCGTGACCGGC